CCTGGAAGCACTGGACAATGGCCGTTTCGTCCTGGTATGGGACTCATCAGCAGTGAGCATCCACGACTCCTGCTCCTCGCAGGATTCGAACCCAGGACCTTCGGTATTGTGCGCGAACGCCTTAAACATTCGACCACTGAGCCGGTATCTAACGGTGTTAATGTCTAACTTGATCAAACCCACGGAGTTGCGCGACCTCATACCCTGTATACATCCGGACAGGTTTGAACTTCACTGGTCACGACTTCCCACTAGAGAACTCGGAGAAGATTTCTCACTAAGCTAGTCACCAGTGGACAAATGTCATTACTGATGATTCCCATACCAGAACGAAACGGCCATTGTCCAGTGCTTCCAGGTTTCTAATGGTGGTCTAACATTGATCGATTCATGGTTACAAATAGAAATTTGATCAATCTTATTTCATATGTGAGCATCTTATACAAGACTTCTAAGCTGTAATCATTATAACACTAGTTTTTATCGAATAGATACAATCTAAATGAAGTGATTTAGGTCAGGCAAAGTATTTTGACTCTGTAATGTCAGTACATGTAGTTGACTAATTCTGAAAAAAAAGATGAAATGCACTTTATGAATTTGACCGTTAGCTACATTTTGTCTCTTCTAAGCAAAATATATTATTTTTTCTATGTAATCTGTATTTTTTGATAACTAACAACAAATATTACTTACAAAAAATATATGTTGCTTTAAAATTACATAATAAGTTAGATTTAAAAGAATTTTACATCAAACATTTTCATCATTCACATATTCATTATTTACTGGTTTCAATAGTGTAAGTATAATCCATTTCATTGAATGCCAATAGTCAGTACGATGAAATCAATGCACTAATCACTACTGATAAGCAATTGTAGTGTGTCGATTTACTGCATGCTCTTAAGCTCGGTGGTAATTAGCTCGTCTAGACAATAGTCACTAATTAGCGTCTGATGGTTTATATATCAGAAGGTGAACTCGTAGTGTTGAATATATTTATTTGTAACACACCATAAAGCGAAGCGGAGAAGCAGTGAATAGAACGAATGAAGCGACGTGAATTGGAGGAGTCTGTTAAGCCAACTCCTTCAGAGATAAAGCATGACTAAGAATTTATAGTCAGACAAATATAAGACAGAAATGTGATCAACGAGATAGGCATGAACACACATGAATAAAAGCGACGAATAGTTGACAAGGTCAAATGATAAGTGGGACACGTCATGTGAGCTCATGCACAAAGCAGACAATAATAAGAACGAATGGTACATTTAAATTATTGCAATACAAATTAGCTTGATTAAATAAATTATTCGAAAGAGCTTCACCATGTTACATGTAAGCGAACTGGAATAAATGTGGAGGCACTACACAGTAAAGTAATGCATTATTTGATCTGATCATTTTAGTAACAATTATTTTGATTTTTAAAAATTGAACAAATTTTCTTTTTATTGAAATAATACTTATAAGTAGCAGTTAGAGGTAATCAAACGAAGTTATAAAATCACTCATACAACTAATTGACTGTTGTAGGAAGTTGAGCAACGGATTGTTTACTATTCAGTTTCAATTGATAAATTTTATTAATAACGACAAGTAAAATCTCCATGAGAGTAATTAAAATCTGTTAATTGTGTATTTCGGTTAATCAACAACATCATTCAATGCCTTTTTAGTAGTCATGAGGTTACTAAGGTCTTGGATATGATTCCTGTTTTCAGGCTCATGAATACACGTTGCTGATAGGTTCAAAACGATGACAAGGTGGTCATTAACTATTTCAAGGTATTTGACAGTCGCCTAACTAAGATTATATTATCTTGTATGACTAACCAGTCATTTATATAACCTAATCAAAATGTACGACCGATTCGCAATTCCATATATATTCACCTAAAAACAATTATCAGTTGATTTAGAACAAAAGATGACTGTCAGATACATTATTTATCAATTGATTTCGCAGTCAATGTGTAGTGAACGAGAACACAGGTGTGGCAACCGTATTATATTTAACGAAATTACAGAGTTACTCAGTAAAATTGGAAAACCATATCGTAAATTGTTCATTTGCAAAATATCAGTTCATCCTATCGAACTAGACTGTTCCTGTTGCCAAACATTAATCCATTGTCACTATTCATGCGTTTCATACAAATTCCATTGTTTTCTAACTCTTCCTTTCTTGATCTTCCCCCATCTCCCGCTGCCAGACATTACGTTGACGCTCACGTCATATACTACCTATAAGTAGCTCACACCAGAAATGTACTCTTCAGTGCTTAAAATAAAATTATGTATTTTATTTATATAGAAAGATGAAATTTATTTGTAAAATCAATAATGAAAACAGTGAACTTTTATTCATTCTGTAAGTTAAAGTCTAATCTCTCTCTTTGTACACTATATAATTAGAAATAAGTGTAAAACCTAAATCAATCTAAGCATATTTGACTAGTTTAAAAAAAAAATTTTAAACAACATGAGTTCAAGTTAAATGAAACTATTTGTTAGCATAGTTTAAATTGTGAATAACCTTGAAATTAATTCAGAAGATAACTATGGAATGTTGTCATTCAATGATCAATAAATGTATTGAGTGCACAAAATCAATACATTCACACTAAAAATAAAACTAAGAAAGAGGAGATGGAAATTCAAAATATACTAAGTGAAATAAAGTTTGAAAATATCAACTGATATGTTTATATAGTGTGTATGTAATGGAAAATTCTCACTTTTAGGTTTAGAAGTAATTTTCAATATCCAATAATTATAGTGCATAAAGTCATTAGAAAAGCTCGAAAAATTAAATTTTCTCTCTCTACGCTTTGAATCATAAGTTTTTGGAATACGACAATGCAAATTTCTCGATTCAGCAGTTATATGATGAAGCCAAGTAGTATTTGGGTTGTAAAGTGTATATTTTATTTGAACCAGTTAGTCTACTGATAGGGCTCTGTTTATTTAAAAATAAAATAAATTAAAGTAATTGCTGACATCTTTAGAATATTTTGTTAGTATCGGTCGTTTGACTGAATCGATCAATGGAATAGTATATATGTAGGTAGATTTCAAAAGTTAATAATACATTTCATAGTATCTTATCATAATTAATACTCTTTACTAATGGAATACATTTAGTAGTTCAGTGAGCAACGTCTTTAACAATTCCTCAAACTAGAATATCATGTAGTGGATATTTTAGTGAATAGTGTTAGATTTAACTTCTTATAATAATACATGAATATATATATATATATATATATATATCTTTTAACTTATGCATAATGAGCAGACCGTTTGATTGCTTCTCATCCTATTACAAACTTATCATCAGTGTATACTACTGTCAGAATATATATAACAGTAATGAGAATGCAACCTAACTACTTATTCAATTAATATTTCAAATCACGAATCAATCAATCGTACATCACCATTAGAAACCTGGAAGTATTGTGCGGCCATTTGCTCCTGGTATGGGACTCGTCAAATAGTCCGTATTCACGACCGAGGCAGCTCGCACGATTTGAACCCAGGAACTTCGGTTTTCCGAGCGAACGATTAGCTTCTTTACCACTGAGTCGGTATCTAGTGGTGATAATGTCTAACTGCAAGATGCAGAAATAGTGGATGCGCACTGCTGATGAGTCTCATACCAGGACAAAACAGCCGTTCACTGCTTCCAGGTTTCTGAAGACGATCTTACATTGATCGATTTATGATTTTGAATGTGTAACTTAGCAGTCTTCATCACAAACTGTTCACTATGCTAGGTTACTATATAATTGGAGGACATTAGAAATCGTATCAATTCATATGTTATGTGCATATTATTTGAAAATGTTATCAAAATTGTGTAATCGTGTTCGTTATAGTCAACTAATGTTACATATCAGCAAATGGTAGTGTAGTTTATTTCGCAACTCAATTAAATCCTGCCATGCTCAAGTAATCATGTGAAAGCAACTCTTTTTATAAGGAAGGAAACCGGTGTGATTGTCAATCGAAACTAAAGGTGTTTGAATAGACTGTGAAAACTGTCAACTGTCATCGTAACTGATGAAAATAGATCTGTGAAGCAACAAGCAACAATAACGGTTGCATGGTGAGAACAAACCACATTCAGTTACAAACAATCACTATAACACAATTGAAAAATTAAAAATAACTCTTGTTAAAAATCAATACTCCTATGCTTATTACCTCAGTTAGCATTCATCAGTGATATCAATTGCAACGTGAAATTATCAGTTTTACAGTATAAATAATTTTAGTGAAGTGTTGATAATCCATTCAGTGGAATAGCATAAAATTTCGCCGCGAAGTAACAGTACATGATGCGTGATATTTCTGGCCAACTGACTATTTATTATTACCCACACGACGATATCTTTCAAGTTTACTCTGATAACAGTCTAATTGAATTACTTTGCAATGTGCGCTCTATTTTTGAATGAGACTAGTAATATAAGCCAATGCTATGACCAAACAGTCACCATTTTACTTCAGTCGGGCCTAAATAGAGAGAAATCAAATAGATCAAGTGTGTATTGTATGAGGAACGAGAAGTGAAGAATATTGACTGTGTGTTAACTGTTAGATGAAACTTTTAAGTAAAGGACTTGGTGAAGATGAAGGCTATACTACTGTTGATTGTGATGGCCTGCAACCACATTACCATAATTACTACATCAATCCTAACCAAATCTCTAATATTCACTAACAAATACGTCTTGCTTAGTGAAAAATATGATTAACATTATTTGAATAATATAAGTTGTTGGATACAAAATTGTATAAAATAATGTTTATCAATTAAAAAAATAACAAAATACAAATGATTCTAAGAATATATGAAGCTAAACAAATGAATTTTGCATCAATGATGTGTGTAAACAACTAGTTATAACAGTAGTTCTTACGAAAAAAAAACACAACATTATAAAAGAGAAACGTTTTACAAAATCAATGTTAACTTCGATGGATCAACATGCGCAAGTAGATGATGTCACACTGGTGAATTTCATTTGCGGATCATCTAAAATGAATAAAATAACAATGTAAGTCAATTAGAAGACAGGTCGAATATATATACTCAACTGTTCAATTTTAAACAATCAAAATGCTTCTTTTTACAGATTGTTTCACTAAACTCATTAACAAGAAAACATTTCTCCATAACTGTTAACTGTATAGCATTGATGCCTAATCAATTGTTCATAAGTTGTAACAGCCAGACGAGTTTGTGAAAGGAACTTGCAGAAATAGTGTTTCTCAACAGGATGCAAGACATAGAACACCAAGTAGAACTCAATAGCTTCTTTTAAACATTTAACATGAGCCTAACAACACAAAAGGAGGGAGGGTGGAGTTACTGACCAGCAAACATTGATGGTGTGGGCGATAACTTCAAACCACCCATGTTTGTGGGGCAGAACATTTTGTTTGCTTTCAGCTCTTTAGATTGATGAGACGACTAATCAGTAACACTGAGGTTACTCTTATACGCTTGCTACTTCTGTGGTTCATGTTTGCAAAACTATGCTGAGGTCACTATTCTGTCGAGACACCCGCAACATTCTTACTCAGGCGCTTACAGTATGACTTACAGGTTCGCATTTAATTATAATAATTAAAGAAAACCGTTAGACAGTGAGAACTTTTAATCATCAATGTTTCTTTTTACAAACTCTACTCTTTCGATTTGGACGTACATAAATACAGCTTCTTACTTCGACTTCTCTTCTATCCACCTGACACTGCACAACTCTTCCTTCTTTTTTGCTGTACTCCTTTATCTGTGGATTAAATTCTTATATTCCCATAATTCACTTTAATTTAAGTGGTCAGTATGAATTTTATCTTGACTTACTACTGTATTGACTACTTCAACATGACAGATTAAGTAGTGCTTTGGTTATATATATACACTTGCCACACTGCTAACTTTTTCTCTCTCTCTCCTCTCGTTTTCAGAACCCCATTCACGGTGGGAAATCGTTGGCGACTGTAGGGAACATGAACCCTATGAACATGACTGTATGGATCACAGCTCGTATCAAGCGCGTTCCGATTGACCTTTCCCAACAAATTCACTATTGATCTCGACAAATCGCCAAAAGAACCTATTGTGCACCTTCCTTCCTTATTTGTACTTTACTATTAAAAATGTGGCTGTATAATACTGTTTCTGTTAGTGATATGGTGTAAATGTACTATCAGAAACTGACTCTTATACTTAATTTAACTGCTATAACTTTGACAGTAAATGTGAAAGCATTTGTGACAATTTGATCTAGCCTGTAAACTGGCGTGACTCCTGTAACGTAGTTATTTGAGAATAAATATATAATAATGCATACAATAGCTAAGTGTAAACAGAATGTGTAATTCTATCGAGATAATATAAATTAGGTATTGAAACTGAGCACAAAGCAATACGAAATTTGAATTTGACATAGTTATCATTTGTTTTACTAGTAGATAGATAATATTTATTAGTTTTCTCCTCTCAACAGATAATATACTTTTGCTATGTATTATAATGTCATAAATAATAAAGACAATGATTTTTCAAATTAGTGTTATTCCAATTTCGTTGTTCTGATATTAACCATTTGACTTGGGATATTTGTAAAAGTGCAACAATGATATCAACTTATTAAGGGATTTCACTTAATCCTCTCTTAGAAATGAAAACAAGTTCATGGATATTTGTTGACACTATAGGTGTTGACATTTTGATAAGAGTGTTCTCTGGTTATATCCGTGGAAAATGTGATCAGTTAGTTACTCGATCAAAACCTGAATGAAACATTAGATGTTACTTTGGAATTCTTTTAAAAATGAACTCTAAATGGAATACGTCTACTTGTAATGTGACTTGTAATGTCACTTTCAAATATTTAAACATTTTATGTATATATTGTAATTAGTCACAGAAATCATCATGTGTATGAATATTTTTACGATATATTATTTGAGTATTGACAATGCAGAAATAAATCTGATTAACTATGTCATCTTCTTGTTTTATAGACTTTAGAAAACTTCAGACAAATAATACTAGTTATATTATACCTCTTCTCTTTAGTTATTACTTGTTACAAACTTACATTTGTTTTTCTCTTGTATATCAATATCCTTATGACACAAGCAACGATTAAAATGAAGAGCGTCACGACTACTGGCATTAAAATGTATAAGTATTGATGAGATCCGACACTCCGATTTACTTCAAGGTTGTCTCCAGTTAGTTTTTCAATGATTTCTTTCTGTAGGTTAAAAGAAAAAAACGTTCATTCGAAAACTTGAACTGAGATATTCTGAATAATCTATCAAAAGATGAAAAATATCTCTGTATTTTTGAATAAAGCTTATTCGAAAACTTTATAAAAAAAACTGACTAATTGACTTTGTGAATCATAAGCGCTAATTTAGTGTTTACTAGCAGTTAGACAATCAGTATGGAAATATACACTCTGTAGTAATTGACTGATGACTCTCAGTTAGGATAAAATGTGTATGTATATTCGATGTCACATTGAATGGCCATTGAAATTTGAACAAGCATTTTCAAGAGGCTATACACCCAGTAAACGTATTTCTTAACGAGCATTCAGAAGTCATAGACGTACGTATTAACAAAAACAGCAACCCACAAATTTCGAATAATAACATACATGTGATTGAAAGTTCACTCCATATTTGAATCATTATATTCAAAACAATATATTCAGTAATTTAAAAAGCGAACCTTAAAAATATAAGTTTTCATGGAATTTCTGAAATCACCGTGTATCAGACCGATCGTAAAGTTGATATTTTTCAAGTAAAACACTTTAAACAACCATTATTCTAATTGCTAACTGCTTTTTGTAATACCATATACTCTTCCAACATTATTTTCACGAGATAGTTTCAACCAATCGATATATTTTCACTGGATTCTTGTTGTTTCGGTATGGTTCCAAGTGTTTGGTAGTTTCCAAAGGAAGATGTTCGAACCACTGGAATGCCTTATTTTACTCAGTTGTCAAATTTTTCGAAAGTTTGTATGTCCCTTGATTAGAATGAATATGTTTGTTTCAGGAGAATACTGTTTCTGGTTACGAGCAGATATCGCATTTCAGGGCCGAGTATCAGTTAACTGCGGTGTAGTGACTAGCAAAGAAAATGTACTAATGCTAAAAAGATTTCAGAACTAATTCATTATATTGATAAATCAGTTTATAAATTGATAGTGGAGATTTCGCGAGTGGATTGAGGTGTAGGTAAAGGAGGTGAAACATAAGTAATAAGTAAGGTAGATTCAAGTATTGATCAGAGGAGATAGTAACGACTCGTGAATGTCAGGACATTCATCAGGCACAGCTTGTCCACGAGGGAGACCATAATCCGTATATGAATATGTGTTTATCAAGTCTCTTCTTAAAGCTGTCCACTGAGGGGGTTATGGTTACTACAGCTAAGGGAAAATTCCGAGTTTCAACCACTTCCAATGGGAAAACGTGTACAAGAACCTGAGTATTGGCTCTGTTATGCGCAATTTTTCTGGGGGAGTGATAGTGTTGTATCGTTAAGGTGCTCATATTGGGATCGTTTTGCGTGCATAATATATATGCCATGATCAGGTCACCTCCGTTTCCCACGTAATTTAGTAGTAATAATCTCAAATGTAGAGGCCTATCTTCGTAAGGTTTGTTATTCAACACTTTCGCCTATTACGCTCCTAACCTCTGCGCTCGGTCCCAGAGATTTATGTCTCTTTCAAGCAGAAGAGATGCGATGATTTTATGAACTTTAAGGAGTTAAGACTCGCTAACTCAAGTGCTTTCTATTTGACTAGATACGAAACTTTCTTTTCGCACATTAGCTTCCAAACCAAGATATGAGTGGCTCACTGAAGCCTTCACGATTATGCGTGAGTGGCGTACTGTGCCGAGGGTTTTTCCGAATTCTGAAATTTGAATGAGCACTGGTATTTTTCAGGTCAAGGAGCATGTCCAACTGTCCCATGCTATGGGAAGATTAGGCGCGCATGACCTGGCTTTCCGAAACTAATGTTGAGCCTCATGGAGTATCTTATTCTTATCACTGTATTGCCCCATTCGTTCGTCCAACAATCCTTCCATTACATTTGATCGCGGTGGTAGTAATACGACTAGTCGGTAACAGACTATGTCATTTCTATCTCCTCCTTTGAAGATTGTTGAGAGAAGCTTTTTTCGATAAATGATATTGCGACTCCAGTTAATGCCTGAACTGTTAACGTGTCGGTGAATTGAAGGTTCATGCACATTTGTACAAGAATATGTGTCGAAAAGAGTCACGATCTGAGGACATTTGCGCGTTGATTGTGTCTTTCCTGCTCTTGTCTTAGATCTAAGTCGTCTCTTGTAATACTGATTCTGGCTAGAAAGGTAGTTCTTTGATGACTGCAGCTATGTCTTTCTGGTTCCCAAAATTACACAGCCATCAGAGATGTTGACTTTATTGACGTGAAGTGTGTCGAAGAGGCAGCAAAGAAATTAGAATTGCTATCACAGTTTGCCTTGTGCTTTCCTGGCAGTCACTCGTAATGACCATCTTTACTGTGATTATTGTGGATTATGGAGGACAATTCGACTGACGTTCTCTGTGATGAGATGAGGATGTCTTTGTTAAGTTATGCCTAGTCTAGTGTTATCCCATTCGTGGTGGTTTACATTTTGTGACGTCCTGAACTTCGAAAAGACAGTCTATTGTTTCCACAACATTGCACAGTCCAAGGACTGCGCAATAATTATCAAATTGTTCTGCATCAGAAGCCGCACAACCTTCCACTAAGCTTCCTTCTTCATTAAGACAATAACTCAAAATACGTGAAATTGGAGTTTTGAACGTAGCAAGTTAGTAATATATAAAAATAACTATGAATTAGGGAAACCTGAAAGTACTCGGAAATTGCAGCTTTAGCATCGACCGTTCTAGTAAGCAAATTCATGTGGAATACGTAATTTTTTCCTCAAGCCAACAAATGTCAGTATGCTGCTGAAGCAACAAAGAAGTGTGCATTTGATCAAGGCAGTTAGGCCTACAGCACAATGGCTTGCACCTGAAAAGATTCCATTTTTCTGAATTTGTATTCAGATTGTCAACCGGTGAATGAACACGACTTCTATATTTGTATTCATATACCAATCTGATGTTCAAAACTAGATAGTTTCCTGTAACTGGATGGAATTCAACGACACCGGGTCAATTTCAAAGCGCGCCTTTGCTTGTATAATAAGATAACGTGTGCTTACATGCTGTTTTTATTCAGTCACAATGATATGAATGCAAGTCATTGCACATTTATGTTGATGAAAACTTCCTACAGTACGATCGAAACAAAGTGTTTAAATTATTGAGATCTTACATGGCAATTATTTTGTCTCAAGACTGCTGTATGTGTATCAAGACCATTACTGCATATTTCAGCTGTTGCGCACCAGTAACAAATCACTCCAGGTTTAGATGCAGCTTTGCAAGATTCACTTGATTGTTGTCTGGAACAAAAGTCTGTAAAAATGACGATGTAGAAGCAGTTCAAGATATCAATCGATGTTAATCAAAGGTTTAGAATGAGTGATGAATTTTGACAAGCAAATAAAGTGGATTTCAACAGTTGTCAACAGAAGCTTTTCGAATGGTTTTTCGGTCGTCTAGTTAGTATTCGAACAACTATCCTAACGGTGAGTCGGAAGAAGCTTCAAGGTATTTGTCTTAAAATCTCTTAATGCTCACAAACAATATTACTTTTTGAATGATGTGAATATATACTGACTGAGAAAATTTGCCTCTGGACAATACAGTGAAACCGCAAGTGTTGTAAAATGCGGTCAGTTCAAGACTTTTCCACATTACTGTATGCTACTAACAATGAATGTAAATGAAACATATCGAGATGACGGGAACATTAATTGTGTTGGTTCTATGACTACAAATTATTCCACTGATAATTTTATGTTCTGAAATTTTTACCCAAATATCGAAAACAAATCCGGTCTAGCGTGTATCTGATTAGAGTATTTTCAAATAATAAATTTTTTACTCTGACGTACTTGTCATTGGTTCAAGCTCCACCAAAGTATTACTTTGGATCCACGATCCAGGAACATGTATAGCATTATAGGGTAGTGATCCTATTAACAAGATGAAGATATTAGTGAATCAAAAGGTTTACATTTAAAAATATAATTGATAAATGCACATATATGCTATCAAATTCTATATATAACGAAGAAATAAAACGCTTGACCATGTATTTGGTCAGATTCAATCATGCAACATTGTAGTTTTCTAACTACACACTAAATAATTATTTGTGGAAATGCTTTTGAGGTTTTAAAGACACTTGATCATGAGCAAAAGGGTTCATATCAAACGAATTTCAGATTCATGAGTAAAAAATTAGGTCATGAGCTAGTTTGTTGCAGTTTCTCGGATTGAACTATAAAATACCGATAATACATTTTTATATTTCAACTAATTTGTTTTTTTCTGAAAAAGTAACTTGCTGTTAACACCGCATATATGATTATAGTGTAGTCAATAATTCTCAAGGGTACAATTTTTGTTTTCATTAAAAATTAATTATGTTATAAATTGAAATAACTAAGAAACATGAGGAATAAAGAGATACTGTTCTAATATGCTAATTGAATGACTGATCGATCGATTATTGAGAATTGTAAAAACCACGGTTACCTGGTGAACCTTCTCCACATTTGAACGAACTGTATATTTTCGAATCAAGCTCAGTCTCATGATTTCCAGAAGCTATCTGGAAGAAAATATTAGAAATATAGTTCGAGAATTGTCAGTAGACAACTAGTCATCTTTTTTGTTTTACAGATGTCATATGTAATCAATTAGATAATCACCTTGTAATACAGCAAATATCACTCACAATAGACAGGCTTATATTTTCAGTTTCTAGACAAGTGTGATTTATTCAAATTTATTTCCAACTTATTTTATTTTCCAGCTTCATTGAATTAGGATGAAAAAAATGGCTAATTTGATTTCTCATGTACGGTATCCAGTGAGCATTCAATAAAAGGATCAAACAAGACAAATATTCCTTTTTATAGAACACCATAAGATTCAAGAATTAATTCGTTATCAACCTGTTTGATAATAAATTGGGTGGTTACAGAAACATTGCATACATTTTGAACTATATATTCATTCATCTAACGAAATATCGATCTCTTTTTCACAATAAGAAATGCACTATGACGTTTTCTACAGTATTGGAATATGTGAAAGAGTAAACTCAACTAGGAAACTAAGCTAAACTGAAAGAATAACATACTAATTCAATTAATTGCATAGCTTACTTCATCATAGAATATAGTTATCTTCCCATTGACATGTATTAGACATGTTATCTTTGTCAATTCTGCAGAAAAAAAAGAATGACAATTTCAAAATGTGATATATACATTAACAGCAATAATCTTGTCTTTGAATGTGAAACTGCATAGAGGCCTATCAGGTAGCCAGGTTTCACTTAGACAGTCTGACTGGTTTTTTTTTTTGAAGGTCTTACTTCAAGCTATGGGAATCAGTCACTTTGAAGTCGATTTCATATTTTCAAATGACATTCAGTGATTGATATTTATTAACCGAAATTTTATTGCACAGTCATTTTCTTTTTCTTAGAAAACATATACTGTATTGAAATAGTTTCAGATAGCAGTTGGTTAAGTAAGCATAAGTGCAAAGTATTTTTTTGAGCACTTAGCAGATAAAATCAAACATATGATGTTAAAGTGTAAGATATTACGTCATAATGTGTAGATGAAACCGTTTATTTATCGATAAACATTGGTTAGAGATCGTTGACCTTTTTGTGGTAGACTCGGTTACTCACTGATCTTCATAAATTCCTTTTTTCAACATAGATCCTTAAACAATGTATAAATTTGAATGGATAATTTTTACGAATGACTTTATAATGAGTAATTGTGTGGATAAAACGCTGTTGATATATGTGAATTGAACACAACTGGCTTATCTATGAACAGCTGATACGTCGAGTTCTATCTATTTAATTCAACGGAAATCATTTTGAACGTTCATTTTCACACAAATAAAATAAGGCTTTGATCCTGTGACAACAGAAATTTAAGTTTCCTATTTTTGTATTTCAATGTGTATAGATACAATGAATGAAACTGCTTGCATGATAAGAGTTTACATGGGATCAACTGATTGTTTCTAGTTCACTTACGTTTCGTACTTGAAAATGTCAGTTCCATAGCTAGCATACTCTCTGGAATTATAAAAAAATTATATATATTTATAATAACCCAAAGTGAATATCTTTGTCATTCAAAATTTTCGCATTTCAA